CTCATCATACTGTCTCACAAGTGATTTAAATTATATGAAATGTCAACATTATATTAAATGTAAAAAAGAATGTGAAGTACATTTACTACATAATGCTGGTCAAGATTTATGAAATTTAACTCAAAGTGTGTAAAGCTTTCTACTACCTCTTGTCTGTCAAGTTTGTCATGCTGTGGTGGTTTGTGTGTTGCTGTGATTCTGGAAGCTATGTCCCTGGTATTTTAAATTCCATCAGGGTCACCCATGATGGACAGGTTTCAGATGTGCTTCCTGATGAAAAAGAGTAGGAAGAAAGAGAGATGGACTATAATGTCCAGTCACTGAAAACCTTATGAATAGCAGTGGAACACTCTCAGATAGCGATAATTGAAAAATAATTAAGAGTACCAGAAAATTGTATCAGAAGATGTGTCTGTCAGGTTAAAAGGTACTCAAAATACCACCGAGTATAGCTGCTCCTCAAAGAACAGTTGACCGTGATGAAATGCATGGAGCATAGCTTTCATGACCCTCATTTGCTGATGGGTGATGGGACATAAGTCAAAATGTAGAGAAATAGCTGTAAACATTCAGTAATATTCAGTACACAGAATGTACAAAGTATGAAACTACAAAATTTGGAAGTTATAAAAAATAAAATTAAATGCATAAACATCAATATCCTATGAATTCGTGAGCTCAAATAGACTCATATTAACCATTTTGAATCTGACAACTATGCTGGTAAGGACAAACTCAAGAGCACATTCATCACCAAAAAGAACATTTCAAGATCTATCTTGAGATACAAGGTTGTCTGAGATAAGATAATATCCACACACCTATAAGGAAGACTAGTTACTACAATTATTATTCAAATTTATGCATCAACTACTAAAGCTACTGATGATGAAACTGAAGAATTCTACCAACTTCTTCAGTCTGAAATTGATGAAACATGCAATCAAGATGTATTCATAATTACCTGGGATTGGAATGCAAAGGTTAGAAACAAAGAGGAAGGATCAATAGTTGAAAATAGGGCTTTGGTGATAGAAACGATGTTGGAGATCTCATGATAGAATTTGCAAGACCAATGATTTCTTCATTGCAAATACCATTTTTAAACAATATAAGGCAATTATACACATGAACTTCACCAGATGGAATACACAGAAATCAAACTGACTACATGTGTGGAAAGAGATGGTGGAAAAGCTCCATATCATCAGCCAAAACAGGGCCTGGAGCAGATTGTGGAACAGACTATCAATTGATCTTATGTAAGTTCAGGCTGAAGCTGAAAAAAATGAAAAGTCCACAAGAGACAAAATATGACCTGGAACATATCCCACCTGAATTTCAAGATCATCTGAAAAACAAATTTGATGTATCAGACACTAATGACCAAATACCAAAAGAGTTGGATGACATGAAGAACATCATACAGGAAGAAAGCAAAAGGTCATTAAGAAGACAAGAAAAAGGAAAAGACCAAAATGGATGTCAGAAGAGACTCTGAAACTTGCTATCTAGCACAGACATGTCAAAGCAAATAGAAGAAATGAGATAAAAGAGCTAAATAGAACATTTCAAAGGGCAACACAAGAATAAAAATCAAACATAACAAAAATGTATAAAGACCTGGAGTTAAAAAAAACAAAAGGGAACAACATGCTCAACATTACTCAAACTCAGGGAACTAAAGGAAAAAATATAAGCTTCGACTTGCAATACTGAAGTATTCAATGGACAAAATATTGAATGATGCAGAAAGCATCAAAAGAAGATGGTCACTGTACCAAAAAGAAATGGTCGATGTTCAACCATTTCAAGAGGTAACATATGATCAAGAGCCAATAACACTGAAGGAAGAAGACCAAGGTGCATTGAAAACACTGGCAAAGAACAAAGCTCTAGAAACTGATGGAATCAGTTGAAATCTTTCAACAAACTGATTTGGAGTTTGTTGAAATTGATGGCACTTACCAATCTATGCTAAGAAATTTGGCATTTCTTACCTGTTAGGTGAAATTTGGCAGTTCTACCTGGCCAACTGACTGGACAAGATCTTTATTTGTGTCCATTCCAATGAAAGGTGAGCCAACAAAATGCAGAAATCATTAGTATCACATGCAAGTAAAAATTTCCTAAACATAATTTTAAAATGGCTGTAACCATACATTGCCAGAGAACTGCCAGAGGAATATTACTGCTGACATCAAATGGATCTTGACTGAAAACAGAGAATACCAAAGCAATGTTTATCCATGCTTTACTGATTATGCAAAGGCTTTCGATTGTGTGGATCAACAAGTTCCATACAATATTGCGGAGAATGAGTATTCTGAAATGTTAATTTTACACAGACTTAAGAGGTAGTCATTCAAACAGAACTAGGAACCACTGAATGGTTTAAAATTAGAAAAGGTATACAACCCCAGAGCTGTATTCTTTCACTATACTTATTCATTCTGTATGCTGAGCAAATAATCTGATAATCTGGATGATATGAAGAAGAATGTGGCACCAGGATTGGAGGAAGGCAAATTAACAACCAACAATAGGCTTGCTGAAAGTGAAGATGACTTTAAGAAAACTTACTGATGAAAATCAAAGAACACAACCTTTAGTATGGGTTACACTTCAATGTATAAGAACACAAAAATCCTCACCACTGGACCAGTAAATAACATCTAGATAAATGGAGAATAGACTGAAATTGTCAAAGACCTCATTTTGCTTGGACCAACCATCAACACTCATGGAAGCAGCAGTCAAGAAATCAAACAAACATTTGCAATTGGGTAAATCTGCAGTACAAGACCTTTCTAAAATGTTGAAGAGTAAAGACACCTGTTTGAGGACTAAAGTGCACCTGACTTAAGCCATGATATTTTCAGGAACCTCACATGCATGTGAAAGTTGGACAGTGAATAAAGAAGACTGTAGAAGAACTGATTTGAGTTATGTTGTTGGAGGAGAATATTAAAAGTACCCTAGACTGCCAAAAGAACAAACCAATCTGTGTTTGAAGAAGTAAAGCCAGAATGTCTATACTTTGTCTCATACTTATGACATATTATCAGGAGGGACCATTCCCTGGAAAATAGCATCATGCTTGGTAAAGCTGAGGGACAGAGAAAGAGGAAGATCCCTAGCAAGATGGACTGGTACAGTGGCAGCAACAATGAGTTCAAGTGTTGTAATGACTGTACGGTTGGGGCCGTGTTTCATTTTGCTGTGCATAATGTACTGATTCAAAGGCACCTAACAGCAGCAAAAGTTTTCTAACTAGAATGCTTTCTTAAAATAGCATTATATCACTTGAAGTAGATCCTCCAAGAAACCTTACAAAAGTTAAATTCATACATGAAAATAAAATTACTCATAAAATTTTATAAACCAACTCCAAGAAGCAACATAAAGATCTTTTTATTTTCTGGATTCAATTAGAAAGCAAACATTTGTAAATATGCTACACGTTCAGGAACATATGCCAACGTTTTCAAATACAGTCCTGCATCACTTAATGCCCACAATACATTCTGTGAATATATGATCTTGTCATTGTGTGAACACCATATTTTATAGAGGCAACTCCTGGATTAAGGGAAAGTTCCATTACCTAAATCCTTAAATCGAATTTGCCCAGAACAGCTTTGTTATGTTGCAACAGTTCATATCTACCTCAGTTAATTATCTGTCTTAGTATATATAGTATAACGCATACTTTTCTATATATAAAAAAATTAAAGAAACACAGATACCCTAAACCATTTTTAACATATCAAAATAATAATAATGTTTTCATGAGCTGCACAAATTAAACTTGATATTATAAACCTTATGTAACTTGAATTTATAATAAAAAAAACTTTCCACAAGGTGGGAACACAGACATAGATGAGATCAGACATCACCTGAACATATATTAGGAATTGCATGACTGTACACTTAGTTCCTAATGCTAATCATTTCTACTAGTGCTTCCTCAGTGATATTTTTTGTTAAGCTTCACTATGAATCTATCAAATCAAAAGTAACTGGCTTCAGAACATTATTTAGATATAAAAATGAATGAACTTCTGATACATGCTACAACATGAATGAACCTTAAAAATACTTTGCTGAGTAAAGAAAGCCAACAGAAAAGTATATTTTGATTTATATGATATGTGTAGAATAAGCAAATTCACAGAGACAAAAAGTAGGTTAGTATTTGTCAGGGGCTTGGGGAAGGTATACCAGATAGGGAGTGATAGCTAATGAATATAGGATTTTGGAGGGGGGGTATGAAAATGTTCTAAAATTAGTGATGATGACTGCACAACTTTATAATGTGCACAGTTTCTGCACAACTTTTTGTTTGTACTAAAAACTATTATATTCTGTACTTGCAAAGGATGAATTTTACATGTGATATTATGCTGCAGTAGAATTAAATGCCTTCAAATACATTGAATAAAATACATTTAGTGTAGATGAATCGCACATGCCTGTGCTTAAAATATGAAATCTGTAAAACTACTAAGATTATCTGCCCCAATTTACTGAAACACATTTTTCACCAAACTACAGGAATAGTTAGTTATATTTCACAAGTGGACATTTTCCTAGGTTTTAAAAAATCTTAATTATCTAAAATATTTATAGTCCTTAACGGAATCAGGAAGAATTATAACCACGTACTTATAATAGGTCACTATGAGTCCGAAGCAATTCCACGGTATTTAACAACAACAACTTATAACAGGCAACTAATTTTTTTTTCCAATATACATGAATTGGTTCACTATAAGAATATAGAAAATAATTATTAACACATGCTAATGATAAACTACGAACATGCAAGTAGCACATACAAGCACCTATTCATTTATATGATCCATTTATAAATCATTTTTAAGAGTATTTTACCTCTCAGTCAAGAACAGAAAACCAAAAGAAAAATTTTTATAAACAAAGTTTATCAAGTTCAAAGGTTTGAAATAAAATGGATGATGATAACTAGTACTTACTAATTTGTTTTCTTGCATGTATATTCTTTGTAATTTCAGGCAGCCCTTAGCTATGACGATCATGCCTTCATCTGAGATCTTGTAACACTGGCCAAAATGAATATCTTTGAGTTCTCTGCATTTTGAACCCAGCTGTAAATAAAGAGATTTAGCTGAAAACTCAGAAGATAACATATTTCTAGCTAGATTTCCATAGAATTCCTTATAAATAGTCATATGTGAGTCAATAATTATTTATAAATTGCTTTCAAAATAAGACACAGCACCAGCAACTTATAATTTAAAAGACATTTGGTAAACCTCTTCACCTTCTAATGTACTTCACACTGCATGCTCATGTAAGGGTCCACAATGCTAAATGATTCAAATCTTCAACTTTTATTTCACTTGAGTTTTTATATCAGTTATAGTATGACACAGAGTGGGACACACGTATGTTTTTTTTGTTGTTATGTGCCATGGTGTCGGTTCCAACTAATAGAGACTCTGTACAGGGTTTCTGAGGCTGTAAATCTTTGTGGGAAAAGAAAGCCTCATCTTTCTTCTGCGGAACAGCTGGTAGTTTCAAACTGCTGACCATGAGATTAGCAGCCTGATTCATAATCACTACGGCACAGGTACAGTGAGTGGGAAAAGGGTCAAAAAAGTAGGATGAAGTCAAAGGAGGAGGACAAAAGCACAGTGAATGGAAAGAAAAAAAAACAGCTGTAGTGAAATAAAATCCAAATTATAGTAACCCCATGTGTGTCAGAGTAAAACCATAGGGAGTTCAATGGCTAATTTTTCTGAAGTAGATATTCAGTACTTTATTTGGAGACACCTCCACATGTACCTAAACCCCAAACCTTCCAGTTAGCAACCAAGTCACATTTAGCAGGTTATAAACCCAAAGACTCCTAGTGAGTGAAAGAATATTTCATTATCACTGTGACATTTTACTTCTCATTGTGCCAATGTATCATTCCACTCCATATGCTCCGTTACTCTAAAAAAGAGAAAAATTCTGGATACGCTAAAGCTAACCTTGTATGTTGTTGTTGTTAGGTGCCATCGAGTTAGTACCAACCATGGCAACCTTACGCACAGCAAAACGAAACACTGCCTGATCCTGGGCCAACCTCACTAATGTTGCCACGCTTGAGTCCGTCGATGCTATCACTTGGCCAATCCATCTTATTGGGGGTCTTCCTCTCTTTCTCTGTCGTTCCACCTTACCAAACATAGTATCCTTCTCCAGTGACTGCTCCCTCCTGACAATATGTTCAAAGTATGAAAGACAAAGTTTGGCCATCTTGGCCTCCAAGGAACACTCTGGCTGTACTTCTTCAAACACAGATCTGTTGGTTCTTTTGGCAGCCCATGGCACTTTCAATATTCTCCT